AAAAAAAATACAACTTAAGTCTACAACTTCCAAGTTGTTTATGCACAAGCCTGAACATACTGGAGAGAATTTATTATAAAAAAATATAGAATCAATACAAAAATATGGTATGTGACAATAAAGGTCATGACTACATGCAAGCATTGTTGCTGTGGGCATGCATCAAAATCAAACTGCTGAGTGAAAGGGTATGTTCATTTTCTACCCAAGATCCTATTCTTACATTCAAGCTAGGTATTACCCACTCCCCATAAAAGGGTTTGTCAAAGATAATGTTACCTAACTTCTTTCCCATCAATGGGGCATCTATCTGATGTAGTACCTAACCAAGTCTTTATACAAAAGCTATGAAAGTGATGACCACAGGGCAAAAAGTTTCTCTCATCCCCTGAGACATAGTCTTCTATGCAAATGCTACACAAGTCATCAATTTCACTTGTTACTTTATCTGATGACAGTCTCTTAATTTGGGCGGTAGATAAGGTCTTAGGCTGAACAGAGGAATCCAACTGGAGGAGCAAGTCGTAATCCTCAGGTGTGATCTCACGGTTTTGAAGTTCAATCAGCAAGTTAATGTATGACTGATCTTCAAATTTAACACCGTTGTTGTTTGAATTAAGAATAAAGTCAGAATTGTTATAAAATGATGGTGGATTGGCTGTTTGGTTGGCACAAACACTTACTGGGTTCTTCCTTACAGATTTTCTAAGACAGCTTTTTAGAGGTTTCTTCTCCTTCTCCGACTGCACCTCAGTTTTCTCAGTAACCCCTTTCCGTTTCTTTGCTTTGATCTTGTTCTCCCGCTTTCTCTTCGAATTCTCAATCCTTATTTCCCTGATCCGCAATTCCTCATTAGTAAGGCCAACGTCAGAATCGTCAGATCCTGTAAAACTTCCTTTTGACGAGGAGATGACCTTCCGAGTATCCCGTTGACTACATTTCCTTTTGGCCTTCACAGCTACGGAAAGTTTTTTCTCACCATTTCGCCTACAGATCTGTCCATGTTTTTGATCGAGGAAATCAAACTCGCTTGGGTAGTTGTTTTCCTCGTCACATGAATCAAAATCGTCGCCTGTAGACTCCACATCACCATTGTTGAGATCGTAGGAAACAGGTCGGTTATAAGTAAATGGCAGTATCAAAATTGACAAGTCTCCTTTGCTTGACCCAGCGTGCAACGAATGGGAACTATGATCAGGAGATTGTCCTACAGAAACTAAAGGTCCTGCCATGACGAAGAAAGAGAGTTAGAGAGGTTAGTAGTTCTACAAATGTACTAAGTGAGTCCTAGGAAATAAATTGATTTAAATCTATCAAGGGTTTTATACCTAACCATGGTCCAAGATTGCACCAACAAACTAAAAATAGATCACAAAGTCTGTGGTGCAATGCTTGCCCCATTCTATTCTCGGTTAGAAACACGACAACGTTCCTGGGAAAGAATGAAGTAACCTCGTCTCAATCCCCCTCCACGCGGGAAAAAAAACATGGCGGCAATTCCGGGAAAACGCAAACTTTTCAGCAAACTTATAAAAGATAAATGTTGGCATCCTTATCTTGGCTTTTGTTAGCATTTTAGTAACTTCCATGTTCTTCAGAGTGACTTACTTTACATTTAAACAGGAAAGCACAACAGGGTATGGTTAGGGATGGGTGATACAGCAAACGATACGGCGAGCGTCGGCCATGTTACCGATGGAGACAAACCTCCTCCATCGACAGAAAATGAAGGAACATTTAAAGGTCCTAAGTTTGATCCCCCTGTCTATCGTCAACGATATGCTGCAGTATGTGAGCTAGTGAAGAAACAACAAGCAAAAAAGGTACTTGATCGCGAAGCTAGTGTTAAAATTCGTAAACATACTGGAGTTTTTCGATCAGTGAGTGGTCTGTTAGTATATAGTGAGCAATGAATACGCACATTTTGAAACCAAAGAAAATAAGCAGCAAGCTAAAAGCCTTTGTTACTGCTTTTGATCCACCTTCACCTCAGCTAATCAGGTGTAATCGTAAACTTGCACTTGTAACGCAAGGAAAAACAACATTTTAAGCATACACAAGGTAAAGAACATTCATTGTTTTCCAGGGTTGTGTTGTCCGTGACTATTGGACATTATTTTCTTAAGCTTATTCACCTACAGTCTGGAATGGCTGAGTTAGGATTTGTTACTTGACATTAGGTACAGGATGTTCTGGCTTCCTACATCACTCTATTCAAAATTGACGTACTGCAAAATTAACTTATTCATCATCACTACCTCGGCTTCTTTCACCAAACAGTGAAAAATAACAGTCTTTTTAAAGCCCATCCATGTTTGGATGTGAAACTACCTAAAAACAAATAGCTCAAAACTCTCAGTTTATCAAAAGCATTTACTCAATCCCCTTCTTGTTTTGGTAACACACAAGACTGAGTAATGCCTATGATTCCTGACAAATGACCACTTTTGAATCTGTTGCCAGGTCCATGCAGCCTTTCATAGAGCATTTAATTTAATTCTTCCTCATTGTCTGACTTGGAGCTCTCGTGATTATAGTTTGCTTAGAAAATAAATTAAATTTTTCTTCATTGTAAACAATTTCTTTTATCCACATTTATTTAGGTTCTTGATTTTGGTTGTGCTGAAGCAAAGCTAGTGAAAGCATTGATATGTCAAGATAATTTGATTCATTTGGAAGAATTAGTCGGTGTGGATATTGATCAACAGCTTCTTGAAGAAAGCAAGTTCCGCATTAGGCCATTCACAGCAGACTATCTGCGACCACGTACCCATCCCTTCCAAGTTTCTCTATATCAGGGTAATTTCAATTCTTTTTTTTTCAGGTATAAACAGTGTAGGTAGTTAAGTGCTAATGCAACAAAAATTAGGTTGAACAAAAAATTATCCCGATTTTAAATTCTTTTATCAGGTTCTATTGCTGAAGCAGATGAGAGGTTTATTGATTTTGATATAATTGCTTGCATTGAACTGTAAGTACATACCTGAAACTCTCCACCTAACACACAAAGTTGATATGTTACTGTGGTGTACCGTTTCAGAAAAATACAATATTCATGTTTTCACTTTTTTTTCCTTTACATTAACCAAACAAATTATACACAACATATTGCGTAGGCTTTTCTTGTAACATACTATACTTGGTGTCAAAATGTGGTAAGAACAAAATCCGGTCTCAAAGCCTCTGGCAAGTTTTTGTGATGTTCTTACCACATCACTCATGATCTATTACTGAACATATGCACAACAGAGTAGAATGTTTGATAGTGTAGTCTGATCATTTGAGTGAGGATATTCCTGAGAAGGACTGTTATTAGTAGTGGTGACTGACTTTTTGACAACCCGAGCAGAGGTCATCAACAGAGTCAAGAGTGGAATGTGCTATTGTTTTAGACAATTAAGAGACAGAAGGGTATCAATGTTGTCATCAACTACATGTCTGTACTATTAGGAAAGATGATTAACCCTTTAAATCACAAGATCTGATTTTTGATTCTCCCTTCCAGCTGCTACACAATTTCTTCTTAATAAGTTATGATAATTTGGTGTTAGATCAAGATAAAAGCTTCATCCTGATAAGTTTGAGTATTCTAATTACCTGTTTACTGATTATAGTATGGATATCATAGGGAGAGGTTACATGTTGATCAATTCTGTGATTAAAAGGTTAAGAAACAATCAATATGTAGGAAAACTTCTGATAAGCATATACTGAATAGGGTGTAACTGCCCCACAATGCTGAGTCATTCAGCCATAAGAATTTAAAAAGCTTTTTTGTATTGATTAGTCTGTAAATTTTTTTTAAAGGATAGAACATCTTCAACCAGAAATCCTGGATTTAATGCCTGAAGCAGTCTTTGGTCAGCTGTCTCCTAAGGTTGTTATAGTAACAACACCCAATGTTGAATTCAACGTCTTGTTCCCTGACCTTAAAGGATTCCGGCATTATGATCACAAGTTTGAATGGACCAGAGCAGAATTTCAAGAATGGTTAGTTCTTAACCAAAGTATATGATGTTCAGTTTACCAAAGAAAACTCTCTTATGGAGATTTCAACCAATGTCCCTCAGAAAACCAGTCAGGCTTTATATAACTGTACTATAACATCCCTAAAAAAGAAATAGGGAGAGGAGACAGTGCCATGTAGGTATGGGATGCTCTTGGCAGGGAGGATCATATCTTAAGGTTTACATGTGACATTTGACCTGGAAACTGCCAACTAATGAAATTTTTAAAGGTCCCTGTGTTGCAAAATAGGAAGGCAGCGACATGGAACAACTCATTTGTTTGGACCTTGGTGTGTACCCATTTACTAAAAGCAATTGGAGCTTTACAATCATTTAACAACTGATTATACATTAATTAAAAACATGCACACCCACAAATAGTATTAACTACCAACTACCATTCAAAGTTTTTCAAAAGAAACAAGTATATTAGTATGTCATATTCAAACTAAGGCTTCAAAAAGTATAGCATAGACCTTTGCCTAAACAAATGTTTTACTTTTCAGGTCAAACACCCAGGCTCTGAAGTACAACTATACTGTGAAATTTGATGGGATAGCTGCTGGACCCAAGGGAACAGAACACCTGGGTTGTTGCTCTCAAGTGGCTGTGTTTGAGAGGATAGCATCCTACTCTGCTTCCAGGAAGGGACCAGAGATAGGCCAGCCATACAATCTGGTATGGGTGTTGGCTTCTTTCCATATTCTCAATTTCATATAATTTATGTGGATACTCACTTAACTCTTCAACCCCTTTTAGTGATTGGCATCTAACATCTCCTTACAAAATCTTTGTTGAACCAAACATCAAGATCAGGAGAATAAAGGAAATGATTACCCACCAGACAAGCTCTGTTGAACAAATTCTCCTTGTCAGTCCCATTGGGAATGTGTTAAGAACAGTGTGGAGAATATGCATACTGATTGAAGGGTGTAAAGGGTGAAGGGTCAAATTAAGACTTTTGTGTCACTTCAGAACATAGGACAGAAAATCAATGTATTACTAGGGGTTGCAGTAAAAACATCACAAATTTGCTTTGAGTAATCAGGCATTAAATATTTCAAAATTCCCCTCAGCCAGAATTCTTTTTTTAATAAAGTAATTGCGTAGGGTTATGGTTAGGGTGAATAGATATTTCAATGTGCCATTTTGGCTTGGAAAACAATTTGAATTTGACTTATATCCCTGAACTTGATTCCTAACATTCCTGAAGGTTTTCATTTGTCAACAAAATTGACCTTATACTTCAGCCTCCATTCTTAAAATTTTCTCGCCCTCTGACAACTTAGTTATTTCTCTTTGCATTGAAATTTAGATTGCAGAGGTTCAGTTTCCATATAAAAAAGACACAAGAACAGAGGAAGAAAAGATTCTGCAAGAAGTAGAATACATCCTCTGGATGCTGTCATCCCAAGAGGAGGCTCATGATTCAGAAGAGAGTGACATGGATTCACAATCAAGTGACAAGGATGACAAAAGTTTCCATGGAGAGGAAAATCACCTTACACATGATGAGGACTGTGTAAAAACACATGTGTACTTGCTTAAGGAGTTACTAGGCTTCAGCTCCCTTCAAAAGTTTTGTAATGATATTGAGAAACTAAGGTAGGCTGTTAGGAATAGTGAAAAAACATCTTTAAAATATACACCAAGCTGTCAAAATTAAATAATTAATACTTAAGTGGTGTGAAATAATTTAGCCCCACTCCTTCCCTACATTAATAACCCATTCCCTCCATTTGATGCTACATTCTGTTCAAGGGGGAGGGGGAAGGGGGAGAAATACTGATTTGTACAGGTATATTCCACCTAACAGAATGTGATACTGAAATCTCTAATCTAGAGTGGGGTATCCTAAAAGGAAAAAGGCTTACTATTTAAGAGGTTTTTGTAGGCAACTTACAACTTTTTAGAACCTCAAGAGTTGTAGCTTAATAACTACTGGATAGACTCAGCAAAATCAAATGCAAACTTTTTGTTATAAATTATTACTTACAAAAAAATGCCAGTGACAGTGTCAGCTTTATCTGTCCTCTTATTGATCATACGAAATTCACCATGTCATGAAGGGTCATACTTAATATTAGTTATCAAATTTTGATAACCAAAGTAATGTGTGAAAAAAAACAGCATTTACAAACTAGTCTTTAAACAAAATTAACTATTAAATTAAATATTTACTTTAGATCTGTGCTGAAAGATTCTTCAAGGTTTTGCCTGACTGAAGATGAATGTGGAGTCCTGTGGCAGCATCAGTCATCACCACAGTGGAGCAGTGAAGAGAGTGACACTGGTTGGGATGTATGTGGTAATGATCAGGAGGTGAATGAATCAAAGAGACCTGACTCAGGTGACTGGACAGAACCTGAAAACTGGGATACTACAGATGAATTTAGTTCTGATGCAATTATCAAGCAAACAACAGCTAATGCAGAGGTCTGTTGGGATTCTTCAAATGATTGTAATACTAAATATTGGGATGGTGAGGACTGGACTAAATTTGAAGAGTATGGAGCAGATGACGAGTTTGAGGAAGAAAACAATTTCAATTTGTATGACAGCTACACTGCAGCAGTTTCACTTGAAAGTGATGGATCTCAGGGTGAAGAAATTAGTGGTAATGACATTGATGGACTTGTTTGGATTACAGAGAATGTTTCAATTACAGATGGGATCCCTGAATAATCAATATTTCAAACTTGCTTCATAATCTCAGGTTAGACCATTTTGAAAAGTGGTTCATAAGAATACTTAACTGTTTAAGCCTGGTTCTAACTATATGTAGTGACACAAGCACAAGCACAGTCAAGTACAAATGTACATGAGGTAAGTATACCAAGAGAAAATGAATATTGACAAGCACAAGCATTAACACAAGAAAAAGGAAAATTCTGATCCTTATGCTGGCCCTTGTGTATATGCTTGTAACAAGGCCATTTTCACAGTGAAATATCAGCTGTTGTGCTTGTGGTGGTACTTTTGCTTGCATTGCTAATGAAAACAAGGCTTTAGGCTCACAGCTTTTGTTAATCACCTTAATTCACAAAAAAGGCATCCTCTATTTTAAAAATCAAGGGCTAAGACTATTAAGTCTTACAAAAAAAATTTCTTGCCTCTAAATTCATGGTGAGAAGTATCAAGTAAATGAACATTGTAAATAGTTTATTAAATTTATTTGGTCCTTTATTACATATGAAATGTTTCTATATGCTACTCCATTTACAAGTTTCATTTCAGAGAGACTCAGCTAAATAATTTTAGTTTAATGAAATAATTATAAATATGTTGAGTCTTATCATGTTTAAGATAATATAAGCTCTTAGGATGATACATTTTCCCTCTACCTAGTTGTACAAATATTTTAATGCTACACACCCTAAGAGGACTTGCCAACTTTCACATGAACTATTAAGGACCTTTAAAATAGACAGGACTGCAAGATTTTAAAGGCTATTACCTCTGTAGATAACCATCCACTAGGCTCATATTTACCACCAACACATGAGAATAAATATAGTCTGCATAAAAAACTGTGTGCCCTCCCCAAAGTAAATAGCAAACAATTTATGACATCATATGTAAATAGACTGATTTCTAAACACAAGGTAATGTATTTTCTATGTAGTATTTTATCATCCATTTGTAGTTTAAGTATTTTAATTTAAAGGATAGATTTTTATTGAGTGTATAGGCAACTAGAATGTAACAAAAGATATGTACTTTTATCTTTTGGCAATAAAGACTATTACTTACTTACTTACTTACTTATTAAGTAATAATATGCATAACAATCTTCCCAGTTTTAATTAAACAATGAACTTCAAGTTATGGCTATGTTAAATAAAACAAAGATCTTTATAGTCTTTGTTTCTGTCATATCAAAATCCAAATATTCGTTTTTCATTTATAACTATTTACAATCAGTGGTTTGAGTCCTGAGATAATTCATTTCTTTGCGATTGTGCTGTATTCATGTATGTCTCTTCCCCTTTCAGTTCCCAGTGCAATACTGTGTTTCATTCATCTAGCCTTCTGGGCTCATGTCAACATTGATTATTGGGGTGGTGAAAGGGGCTGGTGACATTGTGAATTATTTCTTACCAAAAGTTAGAGTCCCCAAATAAAAAAATTCTAGAATTCTTCCCAACCCATTTTCAAATTGTCAAAAATTTAACTAGGAAGTACTTCAAATTTATATTTTTGATAAAATTTCAATCAATTTATTAACCCACCCAATCTGACTTCCAATTACTAATGGCATTATGATATACACAACATGGTGTGTTACTTTAACAAGGTTGAGACCCATCTACCAACCAGAAGACCTAAAGCTTGACAGAGAAAGTTTCCAATAACTGCTCCAATAATGCTACCAAACACTGGTAAGGGGATGCGATAATAGCCAAGGGCTGCCCCTCCCACCCCTCCCACAAATCCTGACACTATTGGGGTTACTCTTTTAGCTTTGATTTTTTCAGCATCCACAGGTGTCACATGACCTTTGGTTCTCGCAAGATCAGCAGTAATAACAACAAATGCTATCCACAGAATATCCTGTAGGAGTCCCACTATCACACCTACTACATGACCCATCAGCAACAGTGATGTCTGAGCTAACAAACCTGTTGTAGAAGCAACAATGAACAGTATTGCCCCTAGTATTCCTTGCAGAAAGACAAACAAAAGCCTTATAACAGTCCATACTACATCATAAGATTGATAGCTCTCAGGTTTTCCTGCTTTGCAATCTCGACAGAAGTGTTCGCAGTTGCTCGTTAAAGCATTATAGTGCCGTTCTCCCAAGCGCTTCCTCGCCCTTCGCACCACCTCATCCGAGGAGAACACCACAACCCCATCGACCTCATCCGTCGGAGGGTACTCTATCCTGTACACAACTTGGTTAGACTCAAGAACAAATTTAGTTCTTGAAACTTCTCCTTTGGTAGTGGGGTTACTTTCTCGAAGAGATCGTAAACCAGTGTCTTGATCACCAGTCTTGTGTATAACCCACGCAAATTTTGGCTTTACTTTATCCACGATGAAGTGATGCCAGTAACCCAACGGGCTTTCTTCCATGACATGATCGCCCTTGCGCAATTGCGCTAACGACGTAATCTTAGTTCTGGGAGAAATTCTTCCGAAGTCGAAAGGGACAGTCTTCTTCGATTCCTCAAGTTTGAACATCGATATTTTCTGAATCTCTGGCCTCACAAAGTAAGAGCGAGTCCGATTCAAAGACCGAAGTTAGTGTGGTACATAAATATAGTCGGTGAGGTAAGAGCTAACACGCAGCCAATGGACTTTGTGATTTGTCGCGAGTCACACCTACACTTCATCGACGTTTACCCAAACGTAAACATGACAATTTACCTCCTCAATGTTTGTAAATTTGCGGTCATTTACAAGTAATTTCCCGACTGCTTCGCGACCGTTTCCAGGTCGGAATAATCCCAAATATTTATTCCTCCTCCAAAGATTTTTTTCAGATCGATATTGCCACATGGAAACGTATGTATGTATAAATATGGCCCAGTTGCTTCATCAAATCACAACATTAAATATTGCAGATTTCAAAGGAAATTGAAGCCGATTTCTCAGACATAATTCAGATATGAATCGTCCAAATAACCGACTCACGTGGTTGTTGTTGATTTAGCTCCGGCACTCATCGTATTTCTAAATCTACCAGCACGATTACTTGGTCAGCGGTATTTGATTTTGACGGTACAGTGTTGCATATATAAATGAAAAAAGGGAAATTTTCAAAGATGGCGGACGATGATGTTGAAGAACTTCAGGAAAGTCTATCAAAATTTGTAAGTGTTGCTTTTGGTGGAGCGCGCATTAAAGCTCTATTAATACTACCGAAGGCTCATTATATTTTTCCTGCAGTGCACAGAGAAACCAAATACCCACCTCATCTTGGTAGCTGTTCAGAAATGCGTTAGTAGTGGAAAATGGACCCGGCTTTTGGAATGCTTGACTCGATCTGACCATAAGGTTTGTAAACATTTATTCGCCATCGATAAGAATTATTAAACGTCATTAAATTAATATTCTAGATGTTTTACAATTTTGTGTCTCTGGTTTGAAATATTGCATAAATTATTCTATGCCCAGTTCATTTGATTCTAATACATGAAGATAAAGAAATTGGGTCGTGCCACAGCTAACAGCTAAACGACAGTGAGAAGGAAAGTCTTTCATTAGGATCTCATTAGATTTAAGCCCACGCCTAATGAAGTTTAATTGCCGAGCCACACATTAGGATCATTATAATTTTTTTCGTATAATCAGTACTTTTAAAGAACAGAAACTAAGTTTTATTGTTTATCAGTACTAAAGTAGGTTTGTTCTTGTGAAATGATAAATGGTTTGAGCTTGGGAGGCACTCTTTGCCATGTTGTCAAGTCTTTCTGATAAGGTAGTCTTGAAATGAGTGCTTTAAGTGATTGACTGATTTTGATAACTTGAGTTGAATTCTTGACTCTGTTATCAAGTTGACTTCTGCTCCTGTTGACAAAACATTTGATTTAGTGATTATTACCAGCAGAGGTCACACCTATTCATTGCAGCCCTGAGTTGATGTTTTTTTTGTGTATGCACAGGATGCTCTTGAATTTGTTGGTTGGGAACTAATTGGAGTCATATCTCAAGCTATTGCTGATGACTTTGAATCAGATGGCCTTGAAGAAAGAAAGAAAATCCTTCAATTAATCGCTGAGGTAAGCAAATTAAGTTACTTTTCACAAAGTGGAGATGAGCTGTGCAGTTATTGGTTTTTTATTTAGCTTCTGTTTCTACTTAATGAAACAAATTGGAAGGTTTAAAACCATAACAAACAAACAGTTGTGATTAATTTGCCTTCATGTCATAGCTGAAGACTGATAAAAATTATGTTTCTAACTATGATCACCCTTTATCAGAGTAATATTATATGCTGTGCACTTAGATATCTACAAGTACAAAAAAAAATGTCTAATGGTTTTTTTGCCATTTTAGGCCTGTTTCAGGATTCTACTAAAACCAGTTTTGTTGAAGTTTATTTCTTTTTTTTGTTTTTCAAAGAAAATACTCTATTTTTGTCTATGATGAAAAAATGCATTAAGTTGACATTTGAATCATAAAATATTTAAATACTTGAATCAGAGATCTCATGTGTTTTCAGGTGGTTACAATTCTTTTTTTATGATAAAAGTTTATTTCAAATATTGAATTATTGGTGTGAAACTAACAGAGATGCAGTGCAAAGGAGGTTTGCATTGGAGTGTTGGAACAACTTGACTCTGGGACAGACTGCCATTTTAACAATTTTGTTACTCTGCTGGATACCCTTAAGACAGGTAAATAAAAAATATAATGCAAGATATGATAAAGAAGACCTTATGTACAGTTAGCTTAAAGATTTGGGTGGTAATCATGTCTTTTCTTCCTTAAATAAGGTGTTTTCCTCAGGTTTTTAGTTGCTTCATTTTTCTTTTTTTTTTTAAGCAATACACAGGCTGCAAGAGAAGAAGTCAAAGTATGTTGGTATGGCACTTCCATGTGTGACAAGATACATCAAAGGTATTCAACTCTCAGATGAAATAGAGACAGAAAAAGAGTCTGGCAGTGAATGTCTGAAAATGCCATCCATCATGAAACATGTACTGGATTTTCTCAGACCATTGGTGCAGGAAGTCAGCTTGCAATCATCCTCTGCTGAAATAGTAAGTATATTTACAAAAGCTGTAGATAATCCATTGACTTAAGATCTACCTGTAGTATCCTTAAATGACAGAATGACAAGAGAGTGACAAAGTATTGGAAGAGAATGGTGAGACTAATATAAGACCATAAAAGAGACATTCACTAAGCTTAAACATAAAGACATGCTATTGAAACATTAGCTCCAAAATAAAAGCTGATTGGCATGAGCAGTTTTTTAAGATGCAACATTCTTCAATAACCAGCTCTTGTACATACAGTTAGGTCTTAAGCCTTCAACTGAGTGAAGATAAAAAATAAGCAAGATATACATTTTGCATGACCAGATATGAAAACTGTATTTCTATATATTTTTAAGAGGATATGAAATAAAAAGAGAATTAACTTATTGTTTCTTTAGTCCCCCTCAAGTTCTTGCATCAGCCAATTAGGACCAGAGATTATCAAATGGTAGGTTCTTTGGTCATTTATTTAATCAACACATAACAAATAAAATAACTTTTTGCTTTGATTGCAAGGTTTTTGAGCCATTTTAGTGTAATATTTATTTTACTTTGTGTGAAATAACTTAGTTGGTGTAATTTATTGACACTTAGTGTAGTTAAAATCAATTCAAAACAAAATTGATTTAAGTTAGGACAGATAAGAAACTTAACTAGCTTTATGAGGGTAACAATCAGACAATCAATCAATAATGAGAAGTTAGTCAATAATAAGAGAAGGGGAAATTCTTTGGTAATTTATAAATTTAAGACTTCAAATAGCAATTTAAAATGAGGAATGTGCACATTACCAATTGATAATGAGACATATTTTTATTATTTATATACCACAAAGGTGAAAAGTGATTTTCAGAAGTGCTGATTAGCTAGTTTAGAAGTGAATAGCAAGTACTATTTACCCCTTGAGCAGCCGTGACAAACCATACATCAGTAGTTTCATTTCTAACCATTTTATTGAAAGAAATAATAAAACTACAGTAAATGGTTTGAATCCAGGGGTAACTTGTAATAGTGTAGTTTGATTGTCCAGGTGAGTGTAGTCCCAAGAAGGATTGTTGTTGGTAGTAGTGAGTGATGTTTCGACAACCTGAGCAGAAATCATCATCTGATGATGACTTCCACTCAGGTTGTTGAAATGTCAGTCACCACTTCTGATAACAGTCCTTCTCAGGACTACACTCACATGGACAATCAAACTATACTATTACAAATAATAAAACTATTTTTTATTTGTATCTGTGTGGTGTATACTAAAACAACTATTCATCTCTGTTGTTCAAAGTGGTGGATATTTACCTTACAGCTTTGTGGCTTGGTAAATACCCACCACTATTCACTTCCACTTTAGTAAGTAATTGTTTATAAGTTGTATGAAGTGTCAGTTGTATGAAAAATGTCAGTTATGCATTCTTAAAAACTCTGACCTAGTTTTATCCTATTTTTACAGTTTGATCCAGCTCTTGGATTATCCCTTGGTTTTTGTGGATTTAGCAAAACATTCTAAAGAAAATACAGACCTTGATAATGAGGATGATGAATCCATTTCTGAGGAGAAATGTTCTTTGACTGTAATGGAATACAGAACAATTGCACTGGAAATTATGGTATGTTTGTAATTTTAGATAGACATGAATCAAGAGCTAGCATCATGTTACCTGATTGTCATGTTGAGTGTAGACTCTTAGAGGACTCGTTTGGTCAGGATTAGTGACTTGCATCCTGACAACCATTTTTACATCACTTGAGTCAAGCCATGACTCCAATGATGACTTCCACTCAGGTTGTTGTAATTTCAGTCATTTATTACCTCCAACAGTCCTTCCCAACAGTACTCTCATGTAGATAATCAGACTACACTGTTAAGATTACTAATCAACAAATGTAATCATGGCTAACTGTTGTTTTCACCATTCTTTTTTTATATTTAAATAGAAATTCATTCATATGGCTAATGGATCGTATCTGTACCTCATGGAATACACTTCTAAAACATACAACAATGTTCAAGAAAAATCAAACAAGACTTCAGACAGAGACGTTTCTGCAGAAGAGGAATATGATGATGAGGACGAGCAAGGTAACTGAAATAATACTATAAAACTTTCTGTAAATACTTTTAGCCAGTCCTTTTATCATCATAAGGCTGAAGTAAAGCCACTTATTGCAGAAGAGGCTAATTTAAGGAGGCTCTTCAAATTTGAAAAGGTATCAGAAATTTGACTCTAGATTCTGCTCTTGAACCTTACTTTTGAAAACTTTTCCCTTTTGATTACACATTTCTTTTAAATTGCAATTTAATTTGCATCATTAATGGGTCCAACATGAGTTAATTGGTTGAATGTTTAAATGCTCTTCTATGGCTCTGTTTTCAAAGACATTTAAAAAATACTTTTGAGTCATTATTTACAATGAATCTATTAATGTACTTTAAATGTTAAGGGCTTTAATTTATATTTAGAATAATAGATTAAGTTTCTAGCTAACTTAATTTCCTTTATTATCTGTTTTCAAGAAAGAAGCTGTTATCCAGTGTTAGGCCTTGGCTGTTTTGTTTATTTACTACTTGTGGAAAAGATGGAAGACAGAAATATCCCAGCAGTTTTTAGGTAAGTGACCAAAGGGGAATTTATCCAATACATTTTTAAGTTGAAAGTTCATGAGAAGAAGAAAAAAATTGGATGACTCTTAGATTAAACACCAAATTCTCAAAGTTTAAATTATAAGAAATGTGTAGTAGACAGCTGGGAGAATTCATATCTAGATCTTGGGAGTAAAAGGTTTACTACTAGTAAGTTGAAGGGTGGCCTTAGTCTCTTTCTTCTCACTGAAGTATTTATCAACTCTTGGAAAAAAACCTTTTTTGTATATTTTTCACAGCTTTAGATATTTACTAAGAGTCAACATCAAAAGCATCCTCTTCCTTCTTAGCAGGTCAGTTATTTTTAGAAGAAATTGTTTTATTTCTTTTTAATTCCAAGCACCAGAAGACTTTTCTCTTATAAATAGTGGGAGACTAAAGGGTACACCCATGCTCAGGGGTGCGACCCATGCCCAGGGGTGCGACCAAGGGAGGGGGTAGGATACTGATTATTCCTTATTTTTCTGCATTGGATAGGAAATACTTTGTGATCATTTTGGTAAATAGCTTCAGGCAATTTTGATTTAGTTGCACATACTATTGGACTAGTGTCTACATACAAAATACAAAAAATGGATGAACAACAATATGATATATTCAGGTATTTTTGATTAAAAAGTTTCTGTACTAGAGATTACAAAAGACTTTCAACACCTGAATGCACAAAAGGTTTTGGCTGAACTTGTTAGCTAGCAAAGGGAAAAAAAGTACTACAATAAATGTAAATCTCTTAAACTTTCTCCTTCGCCTTGCAGAACAGAACACGGTGTCATTTACAAGGGTTTGGTGTGTATTTTGTGAGTGCTTCACCTAATATTTCAAAAATGTTTTTCCTAATTTACATTCATCTCATAATTTATATGTGTCGACTATCTACCGCCTAATCAATTTTCATAATGTTAGCACTAATAAACGTTTGTCTCTTTTCAGGGACTGTTGGAGACATTGTCAAAAAGACTGAAAGATAAGAGTTTGGTGTACAATCAGTACGAGTTCAAAGATTTAATGGACATTGTTAAGGTGGACACCACGTTTGATTTTCAGCTGATTTTGTCACTGGGTATCCGGTTAGATCGAACCATGGTTAGATTGCTCCACTCGAAAGTTAGATCGCTCCATCAAATAAGTTACTTCGCTACCAACATAAGTTACTTCGCTCCATGTTGTAAAGTGAAGTATTACTTACCAATGATTTTTAAAGTGTATAGGTGATGATGTGTCTTACGACGATTCGAGTAGATCGTATCCACTCTGTCCTTCAGATTAGCCACCGAGCTACCGATTGTGGAATAAATTATATAACGTGATATTCTGAAGTATATTGAAAAGGATCATTCAAATACCAATACTATCCACTGTGGCCCTTTTCGCTGTTTGATGTAAGGAAACTGATATCCGACATCTTTAATTAATAAAGTAGATTACACCTCGTGAGTCCCTTTCATGACGCTTTATTTGTTCTTTCTGCGTAGCTCGGATTTATTTCAAGCGCGCGCGATTGTTCGGTAAGATATTCACGTCATGAACTATCAATTTAGATACGTTAGTTTTGCTACTTTTACCTTAGTTTTCTACATGGAGCGAAGTAACTTATGTTGGCAGCAAAGTCACTTTTTGATGGAGCGAGCTAACTTTCGAGTGGAGCGATCTAACTTTTGGTTGGAGCGAGCTAACCAGGATGCGATCTAACCGTAATTCTGTCACTGACATTACCTAGTACAGGAAAGTTTTTAAAGTTTTGTTTCGTATTTTAACGGCAGGCTCTTATAAATGTTATGACGATGTGTTCATCAAAGAAATTGGTAAGTGCACATGTGTTCATAGCGATGTTCTTACCGATTTCATACGAGCTACTGGAAAAGAAGAAAGTCATGAAATAATGAGTAGGGTTCATAAAGACTGAATATGATTTTTTTTTATAGAAAAACAAAGAAATACATATTTTAATTGCATGGTCGTGTTTACGCCACTTTAAACCAACTTCTCGAACATTAAAAAAATCCTGGAAAGTTTTGGAATTTAGGAATTCCAAAGATGATGATCAGTGTCTTAGTTTTATTATCTTGCTTGGTGAATACCAATACTCTAAAAGTAAAACGCACAGTGGATCGTAACAGAAGTGTATTACTGAAATTGTATGCCTCTGGTCTCAACAACCCTCAAAGACATGTGAATGCTTAAGAACACACACTCCAAAAGTGCTCAACATTTCAACGTTGTTGACATTTGATTATTTGATGCGTTTGTTTTCCTTTGCGCCATAGAGATTAAGAGCAGTTCAAGTCCTTCCGAATCTGGTATCAAAGCTTGACACGAGAAGTCGATACGGATTATTATAGTAGGTACATTTTGTGTGCCTCTTGTAGCAACTTAGAAAACTTAACACTGTATATAAATAAGAGAAGATTATTACAACTATTGAGATGGTAAATCTGGTCCAAGGAGGCTGGCACATGACTCTAATTCCGTCAGGGCTGTAAACAGGGATCATGTTTAAGGAAGAAGTATCTTCCAGAAATCATACAATGTTTATCTCCTTTGTTAAGGATTATGTGTGAAAATATGTAACTGACCGCGTCCTGAGATTCCGACAAGTAATATAACCGTTTGAAACTTTTTTTTTATGTATACAGTCAAACCTGTATTAAGCGGCACCATATTAATCGTCAAAGTCCCGAATTTTTTCCGCTCAGTTACTGTAATTTTTACCTCTGTTAAACGGTCACTTCTATTCTATTGGTCGTGGTTACCCTTCACCTTGTCCCAGACGGCCTGTCTCTGTTGTCTTCCACCTGTAGTGAACGGTCACTTAAGCAGAACCACTCAAATAAAACTTGAAATAATATTTCAAGTAATATCTCCGGAAATCAATGTTAGTTTAGGGTGTTTATGTCATTCATAGGTTAAAATGGTGGTTTTTTATCGTGTTGTTGTTGTTGTTTTTTTTATTAACACCCCTATTCTGTGAACCTGTAGGAAGTAGTCAACCTGTAATTAATGGTCACCCCGCCATTTCCCCTGGGTGACCGTTTAATACAGGTTCAACTCTATAATATATACATATGATAAAACGTGCCTTACCAGCGTTGGATTTACTTTACTGTCTCGAAAATGTTACCATCTAAATTAACAATTTCTTTCACATTGGTTTTTTTTTCAGCACTGTTCTACAAGATTGTTCTCATCCCGGGGTGGCAGGCCTTTTGATTCATCTCTTAAAAGAGCAAGTTGACCAAGCTTTAAGTGTAAGAGTTGTCTGGTTTGATTTTCAAAAACACCTGTACCATTGTAGATACTTCTAAGGAAAGTCTTTTGCTCCCTTATGTGCGTGATATCAAACAATCGTAGGACCAAACAAAGAAACTCGATGTATTATTTGGCGACCTAAAACCATAGAGTTTTTGCCAGGAATAGAATTTGCGTCGCTAGAAAAAAAAATGCATCACAGTGCCCAGCGTGACTGCGCACTTTTACTTGATTTCTTTTTAGAAATTAAATCGCGAAGTTTGTTATAGCATTCGTTTTGTTTTCTGTTTTTAGACATCAGAAGATGAACCTTGGTTTCAAGGCAGCCGTCTTATGTCAATTCTCCAGTTAGTTTTCAAACCTCCCTCGGGAGCTGGCACCGACAAGGACCTGGTACAGGAAACAGATAGGTAACTATGACATATGAATTTAGCTTCTATGTACTTTTAAAAAAGTGTGATAATTTAAGAGACTACATCGAGGAAAATTCTCTTGAGGCCCTTTAAAGTAGCTTCACACGGTTATTTAATAATTGTTATTTAATTTATGTATGGAACATAATTTTTTTTGTCATACGTTCAGTTGTGTTTTGATAGGCATCTTACTCCTCTCTTTGTAGAGTCATGGCAGCCCTGAACTGCCTAAGATTTGTTCTTCTTAGAGATGAGAGCGACAAGGTGAAGTAACTAACATGGAGCATCAATTAAGAAACTTACGGTAGAACCTCTAGCAACTGGCACTTCCCGATAGCTGACATAAAGTTGTGGTCCTAGCCATGCGAAAAAACGAGTGTCGAGGTTCCCTCCTTGTAAGGAGGGGGAGGGGGGCACTGTTCTCTGCCAGTTCAGGATAATGATTGTAACCTAACTTTGGTTTTTATACGAGACAAGTAAGGAGGCGTACATTGTGCAGGTACACGCAACCAACCATGTTATTGGATGATCAAATAGATAGAAAGATCCCACCAGAAAATTATCAGCAGGTCGCGTGCTGGAATGTGTCCGATCTATTCCAATTAAAAAAGGATAAGTGCTGAGTGCTGGGTTCTTAAATCACCTGGATAAAAACTTTACCACCGTTGTTTCGCTAAAGCTTCAGACTGACATCTAAACGGCTCAGCAGAGTGCGTCACCTTTGTCACCTAAGGTCTAAAAATCTCGTTATGCAATTCGAATTTCAGCCGGCATTGTCATCTTCACATTTCATTTACTTACAAAATATGAAATTCCTGTTTGTGATGTTTGTCGGGCCCGTGTCTTCAAATCTCTGACCAGTTTACTTTTTCATGAAACGTAGACTACCGTATGGAGAAACTTCACAACAATCGAAAAGGATTTCACAGAGCCCTTAAGACAGGCATCGAAAGTGACCAGATTACAATACCAGGCAGAACTTACAAACAAACGGGATGAAATAGCAGGAAATAAAAGTAAGGTTACTTTTATGGTGCTTTTTTTTATAGATATTTTGTCCAATGCATTGTATTGATAGTCTCGTGGACCAAATGGTATTTGATTGCTCAATAACGGTTATAAACAACTTTTTTTTTCAACTCTGAAGGTAAAAATATGGAACAGAGCACTGAGTTCAGCGTTAAAAATCCCGATGGAAAAGCACTGGAACTAATGTCGCTCGCAGACCAGTGTGAGGTAAGTCTATCATGGAAGTTCTCCTTCCCAACTAGCACTCATTTTTTTTCTGAAAAACTGTGAGAATTAAAAGTTGTCTCCATATTTATTTATTCCTATAGCTTGGCTTACGTTTGCGCTTGTAGCAGAAGGTGGGCGTTATTTCTTGCGCTTTGTTCTTGCTCACCCTTTCCAATGGCGGTAGTTGAAAGTTATGCAACGAGACCATGACAGTATCTTTCAGAGAATTTATTAAAGCGATGACACTTGTCTGTTTTTGTCGGAAGGCTCTTCAATCTGGCTTGTACTCTCTGGATATGATGGACAGTGTACTTGCTCGAATAACAGAGATTGCTACTAGCAGAAGCAAAGGGGGAAAGTGAGTTGATTTAGAGCACTCGGCTGTTGGCCTGCACTCTTTGGTTCTAACCTGGAATTTAGCTTTGATGGAAGGTTCAGACAACAACGTTAGCAAGTTGGGTACTTTGGTAACCAGAGTAAGACGAGCAACAGTTGCACTTGGGGCCACCTACACTGTCCACAATGAAGTTATTAAATTGTTATCTTGCGTGATTACAACATACTTGTCACGCTTTAGAGTCTCTGGCCTGAATGTGGATTTCAAAAGGATGTTAAAGCACTCTGAAACCAAAGAAATATGAAACGTTCAGAAACACTTGAATGACAGTAAACAACCAGAGTTGTAGAGTGCTCTGAAGCACTCGCGTGACAGTGAGCAACCAAAGAATTGTGAGGCGCTCTGAAACACTTGCGTGACGGCAAAGAACCAAAGAGTTGTGGAATAATTTGAAGCACACGCGTGACAGTAAACCAAAGAGTTAGGAAGCGAACTGAAACACTTGCGTGACAGCATAAGTCAAAGGGTTGTGAAGCGCTCATCGAACACTTGCGTGAAAGCAAACAATCATAGAGGTGTGAAGCGCTTTTACACTTGACAACCTCTTACCACTTTGAGCGTGGTCCATATTTTTGTGGTGAACAAGAAGGGGATATGAACACGAATGACGAATTCTTAAAAATTTGAATTAAAGTAAAGGCCCTTTGAATGTTCATGTAAAAGCGAAACGTTAATAAAAATAACACGATCCCGACCTCGACACTCGATTGATAAACAACTTTTGTCATTTGACTCTGATAATGATTTCCGCTCAGGTTCATTACAACCGACAAC